CTATTTCCAGCACACGCAGGAGCGTGAGTGCGTGGCTGGAGAAGCCCTGCGCACCTCAGGGAAAAGCTGGGGAAGGATGAAGAAGCCCCATGTGCCCCAGAGAAAGACCGGGGGGGCCAGAGAAGCCCTGTACATGCTGGGGAAAGGCTGGGAAGGGCTGGAGAAGTCCTGCACATCCTCAGGGAGCAGGCCCATGGCTGTGGGGAGCCCCATAAACCAGGCCCACAGTCATGGTGAGGCCCCGCGGGGGGTGAGGTGGGTGACTGGCCAGGTGTCACCCCATGTGGTCCGCACCCCCTGCACCCACCCAGTGATGCTACTGCAGTTTGCAAACCGGTTTAAATTGGGGTCATTCACACTTGCACTGGTTTTTCCTGACCTGAATTCAGGGGGAGGAGCAGTGCAATTTCCCTCTTAACCTTTTTTTTTTTTTTTTTTTTTTTTTTGAAACAGGGATTCAAGTGGTTCTTTTCAAAAGAACCAATTTTTTTGTGGGAGCCGCCAATGGGAACTCAAAGTCGATACCATTTGGAGCATCCTGCCACCTCTGCTCTTCCTCCTTTTCCTCATCCTCCTCTTCCCCCGCTGCTGCTGCTCTTTCTCTTCCTCCTACCTCCTCTTCCTCTTGCCCCATTGCTGCGTCCACCTTCCTTCTCGTCCTCTCTTCCTCCCCTTCCTCTGCCCCCACCGTCATGTCCTCCTTCCTCCTCTTCCTACTTCCCCTTCTTCCTCTGCCCCTACCATTGTGTCTTCCTTCTTCCTCTCTTCTTCCTCTTCCTCGTTTGTGTCCATCCTCACTCTTCTTCCTGTCCCCCCCACACCTGCCATAGGCCTGTCTTCCCTCCTCTCCTCTTTCTCCACCCCCCTCCTGCCAGGATCGAATCTTTCCATGGCATTTTATCCCGTTTCCGAGTGTGAACAGGAATTGGGATAAAATGCCACGGAGAGATTCAATTGTGGCAAATTTATGGAAATAACCTGGTTTCCACACTGGGTTATTTCCTAGTGTGATGGGGCCTTAGTTGCTGATGGGGGAAGGAGATATAATATGTCACATTGCTTGTTAGCAACATGTTACATTAGTCATTGCTGGGTTTGAGGACTGGGATGAGTGTTACCTCTTACCTCAGTGACATATAAGACTCCTGGAGGGTTTTCTTTCTATCTGAGACTTATCAAACAGGTCCTGCACTGCAGAGCAATACAAGATCTTCTTGTTTCTTTCCAATCCAAAATAACCAGTTCAGTGACATGATGCAGGAAGTGTAGTGGCTAACAGCCACATATCTTCTCCATTTCCTCTATGTGGTTTACAATTTTTAAAATACATCCCCCAAATCCCTTTGGTTGCCTCTCATATCATTAAGCTAAGAGACAGCCCTACCCCTGACCATGCAGAATGAATAGTGAGTATAAAACGTTACTCTCATCTCCTTCAGTGCAATGTTGTTATATATTTAACCCACCAAACCTCAGTGCCATTGCACCATGTTGCCCCATCCCACCTAACCCATTGCAGTCATAAGTAGGTATTACTTTAACACAGTGGCTCTTTCAGGATGTCAGGAGCCAAACCTTTTTCTGGGCATCCAGGTTTGGCAGGTAATACCTGTCATGAGACATGAGATTTTGGTGAGGCAATTTTGAGCAGAGAGGGAGATTTGATAGAAGTAAAAGTGTTGGGAGATCACATGTCAGGAGATGAATAAAAATGCCACCTGGAAAAGAGAGCAGAAGAGAAACCCATCCCCTCTCTTATGCTACAGTCCCCAATCATGGTGTGAAAATGTAATTTGATCTTCATCAAACTTTGTTGATGTTGTGTGCCATCAAATCGTTTCTGACTTATGGCTACCCTAAGGCAATCCTATCACAAGGTTTTCTTGGCAAGATTTGTTCAGAGGAGGGTTACCATTGCCTTCCCCTGAGGCTACCCAGTGGCTACCCAGTGGGTTTCATGGGAAACTACATGTACACTAATTAAAGAAATAGGCATTGCACATCGAATTCATTAGAATCTCTTTATAACATAGATAGGAATTATGTGGCTCTCCAAATGTTGCTAAGCTGCTATTGCATGCTAGCAAAGTTAACAGTGAGGAAGATGGAGAAGTCCAATTCAATATCTGGAAGGTTGCACAATATCAGGAGGGCTGCACAATTCCCACCAATGCTTTACAACACACAATCCCTCTGAAAACGCTGAACTACTGGTAGCATGCTAGCATCCAAGTAACATTAAGTATGTGTAGCATAACTTTGCCTGCAGTTTCTGCAATAGGGTTTAATGAGGCAGAGAAATCTTCAATAATTTGGGGGGTTGCTGCTGCTGCTAATTTTACCACACTAATAAAAGTCACTCTTCTTTTACAAGTCTAAATAATATACTATTTTCTGACATTTCATAGAAATCTATCTATCTATCTATCTATCTATCTATCTATCTATCTATCTCTATCTATCTGTCTGTCTGTCTGTCTAGCTGTATGTATGTATGTGTAAAATGGTGTCAGATTTTGGCACTTTTTTGTGTGCTGTACCATGGCAATTTTTATCAGGTTGCTCTGAAATTTGGTATAATTGTAGCCTACATATGACAGATCACTAATGTTGTTGCAAGTTACAATTTCAAAAGGTTTCATTCTCATAAACAATAGCATTTTGAGGTTTATAAGGGAGAAACCATGAAGGGTACACTTCACAAGATGTAACAAAATTGTAAGTTTTAAGCAAAACTGTTGTGTTCAGTTCTCTGAAATTTCAACAGAGGATTAATAAAAAGGATACTTAGGGACCTGGAAATACTATTACAGTAAGAATTGTTATGAGAGGAGAAATCTCTTGTGCTTTGTATTTTGAAAGGAATGGAAGGATAGATCACATATAAAAAAAAAAAGTTTATATTTGTGCAGAGCATGCAATAGCAGCTTAGCAATATTACTGCAGAGCTAGTATTCCTGTAAAAATAACCTGGTTTTTTCAAAATGTATTGTGTTACATATAGTTAATAACAATGTTCATTTTCTATGTCATGAGATACAGTTGGCCTCCACATCAGCAGGGTTCAGTTCTGGGGGCATTTGTGGATGCTAAAAAAATGTGGATGATCGCACCTTATATTATTCAGTGGTGATGACATGAATACATGCTTCAATGTGTACATATTTATTTCACTGCCATTGAATAATATGAAGTGTGGATATCTGTGGGTGTTAAAATTCATGGATCAGAAGTTTGCCGATAGGGAGGACCCACTGTAATTATAAGAAAGATGTCTTCAAAAAGTGAAGTGACAAGACAGGAAGAGAGAATGTATTAAGAAGCCTAGGGCACCCTGGCAACCTCCTACCTTGTAATAACTTTTTGCCATCTTGACTACATTCTGAAGTTCCTCGGTTGCATGTGTCCTAGTCTTTATCTCTAAAATGTTGGATTGTATGTGTTTCACAGCCCCATAAAACACATTTTAAAAAACCCTCTAAAATGCCTAGTTGTATAAAGAAGATATTGATGATTCCGAAATTTGCCAAATGAGTTAATAGCAGAAGGTCTGGGCAAGCATACTGAAGCTTCATGCTTTGGATTATGAAGAAGAAGAATATACAGCTGGTAGTTCTTGAAGACATAGGCCTAAATGCAATTGTTACTCCTCAATTAGAACAGACCCATTGAATCAATAGGAATTTGGTAAATCAACACTTCTGTAAGTTCAGTTGATTCAATAGGTCTACTGTAATTGGAAGCGACAATTGGGTTTAGAACAAAGAAGTTCTATGTGAGTGAAATGGGGGGAGTTTTTAACAAAGCAGTGCTGCTCAATTCAGTCAGCTAGAGATCCTCTTGTCTAAGGCCTCTGGTCATGATAGGTAATATAACATTACCTTCTGATGTGTAGTGGACATATGGTCATATTCTCCTCCCTATGGAGATGCCTTATTTCATTCCAATTATATTAGCATGTTAGTAAAGCTACAGGGTAGTCAAAATGAAGGCATTGCCTTTCCAAATGAGAATTTTGCTTCCTCCCATTGGAATTTTCCTTCAGTTTTCAATGTTTTAGCATTGCAGAGAGTGAGACATTGGAAATTGTTCACACTTGGAACTCTTAAATTTGCTCTATTTACATTTCCGTGCCTGCCTCTTTTCATTGGATACCTAAACTGTATTTCTAAATGTTCAGCTAAATTACTGCAGAGCTAGAAATTTCAGGATTGAAGAAAAAAAATATTGGGGGGGGGATTTTTATTTGGGAACCAGTGTTCACCCTGGTAATAACCTGTTACTAACCCTTGAGAAGGACTTATGCAGTCTTATTTGATTTCAAGCTGATTTAGCAGTCCTTGTCCAGGCCTAATTATTCTAAAGGCACCAGATCCCATCTGATCTTGGAAGGGTCAGCCCTGGTTAGTATTTGGATGGGAGACCACCAATAAATACCAAGTGCTGTAGGGTACATTTAAGGAAGGAACTGGCAAAACCACCTCTGCTCATTACAGTAATTCCATTCTTTATTGGTTTTCTGAAAAACAGGAAACAGCCTTGTATGAGGAGGATGGACTAATTGTCCATATAGTCAATATCCCTGTGACAGCCAGGAGTTCTCAAGAGACACAGGCAGAAGGGTCATCTTTTGAAATGACAGAGTCCAGGGTCACAACCGACATGCAAAGCATATACTCTCCCACAGACCTATGGCCTTTTTCCTGTGATTCATGACTCAGCATTAAGGCAAAATTTCAAAAGAAGGAGACCAGGATCTGTAACTAAAATATGATGAGCTCATCTTGAGCACTGAAAGCACCATATTAGTTGGCAACTCTTTCTCATAAACAATAACAGGCCATCATCCTCTATTGTTTTTGTTCTGTGCCTTCAAATTGTCCCCAATGTATGATAACCTTAATGCAAAACTATTACGGGGTTTTCTTGGCAAAAATTTGTTCCAAGGGGATTTTGCCTTTGCCTTCCTCTGAGGTTGAGAGAGTATGACTTTTCCAAGTGGCCAAGCAGGGAGTCGAACCCAGGTCTCCAGATTCATAATCTAACGCTCAAACCACTATACCACGCTGGTTCTCCACCACTACAGTACGGGCTTTGAAGTCAGATCAGTTGTGAACCTTTAAAGTTTATAAAATAAACTCTGGATTCTGAACAAGATTCTGATCTTTGGTCATTTGGAACAGCAAAAATGAAAACAAAGCCAGTGAAAATGAATGCCTTTTCCCCACTGCTGTTCTGCAGTCACAGTGAATCATATTGAGAAAACTGCTCTGCATTTTTGACATGAGAAGTACAGCCCCATTCCAGTGTCCTAGCCCATTCCCTCTTTGTCTTGGACTACCCCACCTTTTCTAAAACACATGCACACACTGTTGTCCTGGATTCTGTTTCCATTATCTTACAGGTTAGTAATCTTGTTCTGCAAAATCAGCAGCATTATGATTTCCCCATTTTCCCTGAACAGACATGTTTTCTCTTACTAGTTCTTAAATGGGGGGGGGGGGTTGGAAAGAAAAACAACAACACTTGTCACCCCTGTTCTGCATGGTTTGCTGGGGTTGCGACTGCAAATTTGCGTGACAGGATTCGCAGTGAAGAGTCCTACAGTTTCCCAGTGGAACAGAAGCTTCACGCTTGCTGGTTGTTAATCAGAAGAATGCAAGCGACGCTACCTTGAAAAGATTTCAAGCACAGCTTCTTTCCACTGCAGTCCTTTGCTGCAGGAAGAGGACTGCAGAAAAAACTCACCTCAGCTTGACGGCAGCAGCGGCAGCTCAGCTCTGGGAAATATGTAGCTGCTCAAACACAACCATATTGTTGCTGGTGCGATACAGTCTCACCCACTAATGCATTTTTAAACAGGGCCAAGAATAATAATAGAAGAACAGAAAGAATACAGTACTGACCTGCATCTGTTTTTGACACCGCTGTGCATTGAGAAATGCACAACCAGAAGAGATATTTAGAGGGACAGAACTAAAGTGTAGGTTTTCAAAGGAGGAGAACATTAACTCTTAACTTAATGTGTGTGTGTGTTCTTTTGCCATCACATTTTTTCCTGACTTCTGGTGACCATAAGGTGGAAAACTTATCACAGGGTTTTCTTGGCAAATTTCTTCAGAAGGGGCTTGCCATTGCCATCATCTGAGGCTGAGAGAGTGCAACTTGCCCCCAAGGTCATCCAGTAGGTTTACATGGCTGAGCCAGGATTCAAATTTAATGTTTAATGGCTGCATAAGGTGAACTGAGCCAGAGTCCTAGTCCAACCACTACACCATGCTAGCTATCCATATTTTAGTACATCTTGAGTTAGATCTTGCTCTCCTCAGCTGCTCTGATAGAAAGGTAGCTGTGCTGCCAATGCAAGGCATCAAAATGAGTACTACAGGCTTGACAACAGTTAAAAAGCAGTGTTCCAGCTCCCAACACCTTCAAGGCAGCACCACCAGCTTCTCTCAGTATGGCTGCATTGAGGGCTCCTCCTTTGTCTGACTCAGCATGGCACCATGCATCCTAATGGCCTCTATTCATGTACTAGAGACAGGGCATACATTCCTCTGGTCCTCCTCCCTGGTAACTTACCATTCCTATTTTTTGCTTTTTGCCTGATCTTGTCATCTTGTGCTCCTACCCAGGGTGTTTAGAAGTGACATCTCTGAGGGGAGAGCTGATGCATCTTCATGTCTCTAATGCATATGTATGAGCGCTCTGCCATGTCGTGCTGTGAAAGTTGTGCCCTTTCAGGAGTTGGACTACATTTTGAATGGTGACTGTGTATGGTCAGATCATGGTATCTTGAACTAAAAATAAATAAATTAAGCTCTGGCTTTACTGTGTCAGCTGGGCACACAGCTGGTAGAGCAGGGCTTTCAGCAATATGTAGCAGAGCCATGATCTCTGGAATGAGAATTGCAGTGTAACAAACCTGTTTTTATTTCCATCTGTGATGTGTTGGTTGGTATACAACAGCAAGCTCATGGCCAGTAAGGCAGAGGGAGGCAGTCACCTTGGGTGGCAGCCAAAGATGATGGAAGAGAGCAGCGGGTGCCACACAGCCTGCCCTGCATCCCCTAAGCTGGCATCCTACCTTCAGGTGTAATGGAGGATGCTCTTCCCTCACAGTGTTGAAGAAACATTCAACTGCAGGCTTAGTGACTTTTATATAGGAATGGGAGAGGCTCATATGGTCTCTTGCCTCAAGCAGCAGAATATTTTGGGTTGTGAACTATCCTACAGAGCAAATGACAACTAATTTCATCTAACAATATGTTTAAAGGGTTATCCCCCTTAGGAAAATTAGGTGCAGCTAGAATTTCTAGCACTCTTTTAGTGCTAGAAGGATTAAATATATACAGTTGGCCCTCTGTATCCACAGATATTTTTTTTTATCCACAGATTCAAGCATCCACAGCTTGAAAATATATATATTCCAAAAAGCAAATCTTGATTTTGCTATTTTATATAAGAAACATCATTTTACTATGCAATTGTATTTAATGAGAGTTGAGCATCCACAGATTTTGATATCCATGGGGGCGGGGGCAGTCTGGAATGAAACACCAGTGGATACCAAGGACCCACTGCATTTTCATTTCATGCAGGTGCCTGTGCTTTATTTGGATACTGAAAACAAAAGTCATGCTATTACATTCATTAATTTATTTCATTTCATTTATATCATGCATTACCACTAAAAAATCCCACTAAAACTCAATCCAATCCAAATCTTAGGACTCTGATTATTTTTATTAGTATGGTCATCAGTGTTTGTCAAAGTGTTTAAATACATAGTTTGGTTGAAGACTGTAAAAAAATATCTGCCAACAGCCAATACTGAATTCTTGTATCTGGCATCATGGAATTGGGACTTTTTAAAAATTCTCCCATGTGGTGGTGGTGGGGAAAGGTTTACCAAAACTTATCAAGCCTCCAGAGTCAGACTTTAAGATGCACATGGGAATTCAGAAGGCGATCACTGATACCAAAGTAAAGCAATCCAACAGATATACATAATTTTGAAAATCCTGACAATTTTTTTTCTCTGGGAAGGATATCCCACCTAGAACACTTTATAGACTTCCTTCAAAAATTTGTTTTCTTGCAACTGTGGTAATCCCTTTACCGGCCTTTTGTTCCTTTTTTTTTATACCCACTTTCTAGGAAATGTATCTCTTTTGTGCTTTAAAAAAACATGCAGAAGTCATTTCCCATTTTTTGATACCATGTATTAGTTAGTGCAGTCTTCTCTTGTCATAGTTGCCTTCTCACAATATTTCAATTTTTTAATGCTAAACGAGTCAAGTGATTGGTTTACTTCAAGAACAAGATATTAAATGAAAAGCAGTAATCTTTCAGTAGTCTTGCAGTGCCATCATAAATTTAGGGAAAATGTAGATATATAAATTAAGCCCAGAATCCTGTATGCAGTTTATGTATGTACAAGTGCCATAGTTACTGTGCTATGTAGTGAATCCCAACTCAACTCAACCTTCCTAATACCCACTTTCTAGGAAGTAGCCATTGCAATTGACAGGAATCTGTTCCCTTGTTGCTGCCTGCCATTTACACACACACACACACACACGTGATCTCCAGTACAACAGGCAGAAGCAGGGCCTCTGTTGCAATTCCTCCTCATGCTGGAGATTGCTCATGCAAGGGAGATTAGACTATTAGATAGCTGCTTCCCAAGAAAAAGGGGAATAGACTCTCATTGATCACAGTAGCTGTTTCCCAATAAGTGGGGACTGGGGCACTTTCATGGTCCCTATGTAGACCCTAAACAAGGGACCATGTAGGGACCATGAATACATAACAGTCACAAGTGTGTAACTTCAAGTTAAGTATTTATAATTGTCATAGAGCAGGGGTAGGCAACCTTTCCCCTTTAAGGGCCGAGGGACTTCAGCTCCCATAATCCCAGGAGCTATTGGCCAACACGGGACTATTGGCCAACATGGCTGAGGCTTCTGGGAGCTGAAGTCCCTCGGCCCTTAAAGGGGAAAGGTTGCCTACCCCTGTCATAGAGGATTCTAGTCTAAATCACTAATGGACACACACTATAGTTATAAACAAATCTCTTACTTTTCTCTGTGTGAACATTTTTAAAATGCCCATGTATACACATATCTAAGAGGAGAGAGTAGCTGCCCAAGCCTGGGAGGGATATACCCCTGCCACAGTTGGCCCCATACCACACCCCAAGAGGTTAGACCCTCTAGGAGCTGCAGTACAGTTTTGTAACCATGGCTTAGGCTTGTACCCTTTGCTACATGTAAATGATGGCCAATTCTACCATTAGACAGAATGAGGCAGCTACCTTGGGGTATCAGATTTGGGGTATCATGAAAAGGCAGCAAATGGTTATAAGTGATTTAGTTATTTCACTGTCACAAACATGTTCTTGTGGGATATTCTGCCTCATGTGCAAAATATCTTGCCTGGTTCTGAGTTGTGTGCACCTTGATTTGGGTGAGGGTGCCAGGGTGCTGTTCTACCTTAGGTGGCAAATGGTCTTAGGCTGGCCATGCTTTTTAAGCTCTTATAGGGGAAAAGTTTAAGCATTGTTCAGTGGCTCCTTGTTTACTGATATATACTGGTCAATCCAGAACCATTACTTCAAACATACCCTCCTTTGAACTCAGGTTTGAATTCAGTTTGTAGCAATTGAAATGAGCTGAGGACAAAGGGTAAAAGTAGGAAGAGGAGAGAGGAACTGGAACATTTTAAAAGCAGCTGAAAATGTGGGATGACAGAGGATAGTCCTTGCCAAATTGGGACAGGTGGAGGGTATGTAGCTTCAGAAACATGAAGACCTCTGTGCTTAAGAGACAGTAGGAATAAACCAATGATTGGAGTTACAGAGAAAATGGTTTGATATCTTTGGGCACATGGGCATTTTAAAAATGTTCACACAGAGAAAAGTGAGGGCCTTGTTGACAAAGAACATTTGCATTCCCACAAACTGGATCTCTCATCCACCAGAACTTATCTACCTGTCAGAACTGCTGGAATAGGCCACAAATGGCACAGTAAAGGTACAGCCCAATGGTCTACCCTAGCACCATCGTC